TTACTTGAATTTTGTCATGCAAGCGTTTGAACTCATCTTGATTTTTGCTTACAATATTTATGAGGTTATAAAAAGTACAAATGCTTCATCAGCAGTTTAAGAAGTAGGTTTTTTTTTTTTTTTTCACAAGATAAAATTGTATATAATCACAAATCCTGTGACTTACCCTGCAGGTCTGGTAAATTTGTGATATTTTCAGAAAATAAGCTTCCATGGGAAATTTTTTTTTTTTTTACTTAAAATGGAAAGTTGCAATCATTATAGTAAAAGAGCAATTGCTCTGAGCTGACGTGAGACTGAATTCATCTCTCAGATGCCGTTCCCTGCTGAGGACTATTCCCTTTGAGGAACTCAGGGTCCCTGTTCTCCTTTAGTCTTTACCTGGGCCTGGGCTCCCTGAAGCTTACATTGTATGGTTATAACTGTGATGGTGAATGAGGTATTTTCCTTCAGAACAAATGATCTACATTCTTTCTTATTGTTCATATTTTATAGCTGAGTGGAACAGTAGAATTTATCAATGCATTAAAAAATATCTGTCAGTGAGAAGAGTATTTTGAAATACCCAATAGATTACAATATAATAAATATAGTAAAATCATTGGGTAAGAATTCATACAAAATATTATGTCTTAAACTATGAACTGAAAATGCAATTCTTCAACTCTGGTTTGCAGGGATGACTGTCTATTCCTCACTCTCAGATCTATACTCTTAAATTGTCCCCAGTCTCACCACTAGGGAATGCTCCCCATAGCTCAGATCCAGGTAGCACAATGCTCCCCTTGTAATTCCTCTGGATCAAACATGAACAAAACTTTCTGCATGTTGCTTCCTTTAACAAGAGTGTGATCATCTTTTGACAGATGCACAAATTATAATCGATATCTCAATCATTAATGAGAATAAGACACTCAAAATCTGGAAAGGAAAAAATGCAAATAAACTGTACCAAAGGACAAAAACATCTGATCTCAAAAGCAAACAAAGGAGAGAGAAAAAGAAAGAAATAGTTTTCAACTTCCTCTATCAAAATAGAAAAACCTTAAATCATCATTTTTATGTTTGTATTTATGGGTACAAGGGCACCTCTTTTCACCATTAAGAGTGTATGAATGGGTTTTACTTTCCTCGAAAGCAATTTTTGTACTGTAAAAGGTTCACATCTTTTAACCTAGTAATTCAATAATTATTCAATAATTATTTAGAAAAGGTCCGTTAAGAATGTAATTGGAGATTTTCAAATCTTTCACAGATGGTCAGTATGGCCTTATTTATTATAATTCATTTTAGAAACATTTTAATCTTAAATTAATGATGGCATAGCTATATGTTTAGACATCATATGACCATTAGAATCTTCATTTTAAAGAATCCTCAATATAATATCAAACAAAAATTATAAATATTTTTATATCTATTCATTTTAAAATACATTGAACAGAAGTACATTAAAATATCTGAGTTATCTGAGTAAGGAAACATTAGGAGTGATTTTTAAGTTTTCCTTTCTCACAGCTTCAAAAGTTTGCATTAAGCTTTAAAATTATACCACATAAGTCAAATAAAAATTTCAACGCTAAGGAAAAGTGATTTATTTAAAAACTTTAAAAAATCCAAAATTTTTCCTGGTTATAAAAGCAGATCTCTGATCTTGCCATATGTAGCTAGGTTTAATTATGCTCTTTTCAAAATTATTTTAGCTATTCTAGGTCTTTTGCAATTCCAAATACCTTTTAGAGTCAACTTGTGATGTACTTCAGAAAAGCCAGTTGGGATTTTTTAATTTACATATTAATTAGGAGAAGAACATCACTTTAAAAATATAGAATCTTCCAGTTCTTTAACATGTACATATTGCTTATTTATTATGCTTTTTAAAATTTCTCTAAGCTATTTTTTAGTTTTTAACATACCATTTTGCACATATTGTATTAAACACACTTACACTTACTTTATTTTGATACCATGATAAGAAATACATTTAAATTTGTTACTTTAAATTGAAAGTAAAATTTTTTTTTCATTTAAAATAAAATTGATTTTTGTATACTAACCTTATATGCTGCAACTATTGTCTTAGCTTTACTAGTTTATCAAAATAGATTTGTATAGTGTTCCCTTTAATATTTTTTAGTGTATGGAAATTTGATTTTCTATGATTTTCCAAAGGACAGTAATACAGGACCATAAACTCATTCCAAAGAATTACACATTGTAAATTAGAGAATTCTTGTATATCCTATTGACTCTTAATGAAATAGACACCTACAGTACTAATCCATAATTTTCCTCCAAGCCCAGAGAGAAAACAAAACAGCCATTCAGTACTTCTGTTCTATTTGTTCTCCAAAGTCTTACGGGGCCAGTCTCATTTCCACAATGAGCCACAAATTCTTGACTCATGGCAAGTAACACTGGTTTCTATTTCTAAAGTAGGATTCACAATTTATCTCTTAAGCTTTTAAAAACAGGTTTCTCCTAAGAGTGGTGCTTGGATTATTTCAGCCCACATTTCCTGTAGTTTTACCTAAAGGTCTACCTTCGAAGAATTAGGCACAATGAGAGTTGAAAGACTGAGCTAGAAACTTCACTCAGAAACTAGAATCATGCACCCTATGTAAGTTCTGAGAAAGAGTAAGTAGTCATAGTCTTAAACACCCATGAGGTAGCAATGCTGAGGCACGTGCAGCTTCACACACTAACTCATTCATCCTCCTTAAACATAACTAGAAAATAGAAATTATGATTCTCCCAATTCAAAGGAGAAAATGCAACTACAGAGGAGTCAAATACCTAAGTTAAATTGTTAACCAACAGACTTGTGATGTAAATTTAACTCTCTCTGATTCTCAGAGTACATAGGAATGTGGGAACCAAGATGATTTTCAGATATTAAGATGCTAATTTTTAAAAAAGCTATTCAGGCAGACAACAAAACAAAAATTATGCAAGTCAATAAGAATTTTTGAAAACTATGGACTTCATTTATTCTAATATACTTGTGTTTTCTCATATGACTTAAAGTTATTAGAAATCATCATGATCAGAGAAGACCAACTCCTGGTGTCAGACAAATCAAGATGCGCACCAAGTAGATTGGAACTTTGGTTGAGGATAACAATTTTAAAACTCGCGGAGAGCCAGTTCACTCCCCTTAAAGATGTTCAAAGAATAGGAAATTGTCAAAAATACAAAAACAAGATGAAAAAAGACAATAAAAAAGGAAATTAGCAAAACCTAATGCAGAGGGGTATAAATGGGATGAAAATTCTAAACAACCAAGGAAAAAACCTAAGCTAAGTGTTATTTATTTAAAATCATGAGTAAGAAGCCTCTTCTAAGGATGAAGCAGATAAGAGTTAAATTGTTCTATGTAAGAAAAGGAAGGTAGATGTACCCAGGAGAAAGACAGGGCAGGCTAACCTGGAGGTAGTGTTACTGAGTGATGGGGAAAAAAGTAAACAAATAAGCAAATGGCTGAGTGTGGTGGTACAAGTCTGTAATCTCATCACTCAGGATGCTAAGGCAGGAGGACCATGCTGAGTTAGAGGCCAGCCTGGGCCACACAGTGAGTTCAAGGCCAGGCTAAACTACATAGTGAGACCCTGTCTCAAAAAACCAAAGGAGGGAAAAACAAACAAACAAGAAAAATCATTTTAGCCCTAAATTTTAAGGTCAGTAAAAAACCCAATGTATTATGGATTTTAGGTGGATGACTCTATAAAAATATTATCTCTTTTTCATAATCATATAATTTTTAAATAGTGTGCATGTCTAAAATATTCATTGTTCTATGAGAATTTTTATTTCTCAACAGTTATCTATAATATAATTACTATTACTTTAAATATCTAGGTAGGTAGAAATAGATAAATTGATTTGAAGGAGCTCCTAGCTACTAAGCAAACAAAAGATCCAAGATTCTTCAAAGAAATCAGCACAGTCGAGAATTTAATATATTTAATATTTTCTTGGTGCAAAAGTAGTATAGACTGGTAAAATTACTATAACTCAGGTTTTTCTTTTCTCCTTAAAATCTTAAGAGCCCTACCCTAAATGGATATTAGAATATAATCTTGAATAAATATTTAACAGTTTTTTAAGAAGAAATTTAGAACTTAAAATGGCTATATCAAGTGCAATGAAATCTCACTAGTAATTACTTTTCAGGAGTATAGATTCATTTTTACAATGTGGCAATCATATCTACCATATGGAGATTGATGCATTATACATACTTTTCTTATACAAAATTCAAAAACCTAAGTCTTGAGTCCCAGACAACAATAGCACAAAGGAGTTACTGCAAAAAAACATCAATTTTGTTGGTTGTACCTCATGTTTAAATCCATGTCTATGAATAATGATTGTGAATCAAGCATTCATTTCAAACATTTATAGATTCAAACCATATGGTGTGATGGAGAAACCAATATATTTGCCTTGATATACTAGGTTTAAAATCTGAGTTACACATTTCATAAATTATGGATGTGCCAATATTTCTACATTCTGAATTGACATTATAATTAACTAGTAATATCATTAACATAAACATCTGGATGAATGAGTGGCATAACTTACTACAAACTTAAAAGGGGATATTTAATTTATTTTATAAAAACACCATTTCCTATTGCTTACAGATATGGAACTCACAAATGTCGTGCAAGCAAGGACATATTTAATTTTATGGGAATCTTTTACGAGCATAAAGCAAAAAACAGTTTGATAATACTACTGCAAGAATCTCTGCATGACTAAAATAACTTGATGTTAGTGTAAGAGATTAAAATTTATTTTGAATGGGGTGACTAATCTGCCATAGAATTAGTACATTATTCCTTCATATTATCAATGAGAATCTGAAAAATTTTGTATTTGTTAACTTCTAAACTATATAAAAACAATGGGCATCTCTGGCAACTTAGGACAGAATTTTTCTCTCTGGAGTCGGTTCCCCACCTCCTGAGCTTGGTCTCCGTGTGAGAGCTTACCTTCCTGACTCAAATGTGAACCACGTTGAGTCTCGACCATATCTCCTTAGGGAGCTGAGAGGCCACATCACCAGCTTAACCTTGGCATTGTGGATATCCCAGAGATAGATATTCTCATGAGTGATCTGCATTGTGCATTCACCATAAATATCCAGATTTGGTGTAGGCATGAGATAAACATTGAATCGTTCTGCAAAGAAACAAAGCAGGGAGAAAATTAAGTTAAAAGAAATGTGACAGTTTTTTAGCAGCACAGTATTAATCTGTATACTTATACTTTAGCAAATGTTGTCACATTCCTCGGTGGCCTCAATATATACTGCAAAACCATACCTCTTTATGTTTTGCGTATGAAAAAAGTTCATTATTCTGTTTTAAAAATTGTTATTAGTACGTTTGCAGTATATAGTGATTACATTCATCATGGAAAGTTGGTGCATGCACGTAACACATGTTAATTGTGTTTATTTACCCTTCCCCTGCTTTCCCTCCCTCTTCACTCCATCTTAATCATTATTTCACTCTTACCCATTCTATAACTTTTCATGGCATGCGTTCTCTAAGATGAAGATGAAGTGGTTAAATTATACAATGGGAAAATAAGGATAAAAACTAAGTGGAGGTTTTACCAAATGGTGCTTACTTGTTGGTTCTTCATAGAGTCTAATTAGATACTTACTCTTTTTAAGCAAAAACTGACTCTATTTCACCTTTGTGACATGAAGTATTTAGTGCACAATCAGACTGACTAGCTACTTAAGCATTGCAAAAATAATTTAGTTTGTATGTCAAAACAAATTGTAGTCATGGTCAAATTCAGGATATACTAGCTTTAGATAATCATTTAGATAAGCATTCTGCTTTCTGCAGAATTTAAGACATTGGTCAGATAAGGAAAATAAATGTGCATAACTTATTTAATTCCTGGATATTTTATAGTTCAAAATCCTACTAGACATGATTCTATTCTTTGTTTTATAACTTTCTGTGTATCTCAAAGGCTATTGCAAAAATGCCTCAGCCCTTGGTTCCTATTTAAATGCATTAAATGTACTTTATTTTGAGACAAAAAAGAAGGCTAGTTTGTAATTTTCAGGAAATAAAAAAAGTGGTATGCTCTATAAAGTATCCTAAAAATTATGCTAAATCCCACAACATATCCTTGGTTTATAGCAAGTGATCAATAAATATTGGTCAACTGTATCAATAAAATAAATATATGCCATGATAAATATGGGATGCAAAAATTGAGGAATTATGAAAAATGACATCATGATAACAAAAAGGTTAAGAGTTACCAGCAGATAAATCTCTGTGAGTTACAATTTAATTGTGAAGAGTGCTTTAGAAAGACTTTGTTTCTGTTTTTTCCCTTTCTCATAATTTTTCCTTTCCCTTCTTTCCTTTCCCCTTCCCGGAGTGGGTTAAGGGAGGACAGGGAATGAGGAAAAAATGATACATCATGTACAGGTACAAGTACCCAATGATAAATGTAAATGTAATGTATACCTAAGATGTACCAATAAAAGAATTTAAGGGAAAAAAAAGAGTGCTTTAGAGGCACTGGGGTTAAATTATTTTGAAAAGCACAATAATATGGCTGCAGTTGGAAGTGGATTGATATGTTTAGGAATGTATTCATCATAATGCCACAATCTTAAATGTGGAATGTTTGCTGGTGCTCTGCTGGAATTGCCTGTACTGTATATACATTATATATAAAGAATCTTTTGACTAGGAAATATTTTACACAATAAGAGTTCTCTGATGCAAAACAAAATATCAGATTCCAAATGGGTTAAGTATGGTAGCTTAAAATTTAATAGCCATATGACTAAAATTGATACTTATTTGTCTGGATAGTTTGGATAAAAGGTAAACTAATGATTTAATATTTACTTAGGTTATTGACACATGAAACTGATATATATATATGCAGTTCATATTCATTTCCTAAGGAAATGACAAATGGAGATCAATTTTATAGCTGAAAAACAAAGAAAGAACATTGTCCCATGCAATGGAAAGGCCCAAATATATACTGATTCCATATATCTTAAAATTCTTGCATGTGACCAAGTAAAGTATTAACATTTAGCATTAAGTGAATTATTCATATTCCTATTGTAATGCTCAATCAAATGTGATTACAACTAATAAATAAAAGTGGCATGATTTCATGTAAGAGTATAAATGAAACTTGAACACAATGGGTTGACTCAGGAATATAAATAATGCCTGAATATCAAGATCTGTTTGATGAAGTTCAACTTTTACATTTGGAATTAATCTATTTCAATGGCATGTGTTGTGCATAGGGAAAACACTTGTTAAGGCTTATATCTAGACGTCCCCCGAAAGTCTCATGCACTCATAGGTGAGACTTTCGGAAGGTGATTGGGTCATGGGTGTGTGATACTGGATTACTCCACTGATAGATTTATAGCTGGGTTTGATGTTGGGAGTTGAAGCCTAGTGGGAAGAGGTGGGTCACTGTGGGTATAGTCTGGAAGAGTGCCTACTGCTTCCTGGCTACCCTGCCATGGACTGTTTATCCTCTGCCATATCCACTCTGCCATGCTGTCTTGCCCTGAAGCCAGTTGACTATGGACTGAAGCCTCTCCAAATTGTGAGCTAAAATGAACTTCTTCTCTGGTAACTTATGGGTGTTGGATATTTTGTCCCAGCAAGGAGAAAGTAGCTAAGACAATATTGTATAAAAAGTGGAAAGAAAAATTTTCCTCTACCAATTTTCCTTTCCATCAATTTGAGTGTGACAATAACCAAAGAATGCCAAGAAATAACACTTCTTCCAAGATATTGATCATATATAGCTTAGTGCTGTACTTACCATGATAATCATGCCAAGACCTTGATATTAGAGAAAAATAGAACATGTAGAAAATCTTGACTTTAAGCATCCATCAAATGGATGGTACATAAAACATTATAAATAATAACTCATCAGAACTATTATATTTTTATTGAAATGTCTATGTGCTTGTATTTGTTATTGTCCTATCACTAGGAAAATGTAAAGGAGGAGAGGTCTATTTTGGCTCACAGGGTTTAGAGTGTTCAGTCTATAGCTGGTTGGCTCAAAAGCAAAAATTGGAATGGTAGAGGAAAGTGCTCATCCCATAGCAGCCAGGAAGCAGAGAGACAGGAGGAGCTGAAGTGGGTATATGCCCTCCACAAGCACAGTTCCAGTGACATATTTCTTCCAACCAAGCTCCTTCTCCTAGCAGCACATTTAGTCATGAACTCATCAATGGATTAATCCATTTGTGAATATATTGATCCCATGATCTAATCACCTTGCAAAAGCCCTGCCTCTGAATGCGTGAGACTTTTGGGGACTTTCTAGATCTAAACCACAACAATACTCAAATGTTAGCATATAAAAGCAAATAATAATGAACAGGGAAAAAGTAGGAAGATTATATTGAACACTGGAAAAAGCTGTAAAATCACAAAGAAGTGAACTTGATAAGATTCACATGATAGAGGACACCTGATAACAGTCATGTAGGCATGTTTACAAACAAATAAAAAGTGATTGGATAACTTGCCCAGGAGTCTTTCCAGGACCAGTTTAGGCAACACAATGCCACTGATATTTACCTGTGGGCAACTGTCCCTCTGGCTTGCCTTTTGCTTTCCCTATTTTTAAGCAATTTTTAACCTAGTACTTTAAGGTAGCCCCTTTTTGTTACGCTTAAGGATGCTCCAATCTTCTCTAATCTTTTTGACATTATTTCTTGCAAGTTTTGACAGAAATTATACTAATAAATATTATTTTCAATTTTTAAAATTCAAAATCCTCAAAATTATTCCTTTATATCCTTAATTTCCAAGGATTTCACATTCAATTAAAAAGTGGGCTAATGTAGCCCAGAAGAAAATTCAGGCACCTAAAGAGGATGGCAGCATTTCAACTTCATACCTATGGTACATCAGATTCCATTATGAGGAAAGAAACACTGCATTGGCTGCGAATATTTTATTTCCTTCATGACATAAACACATTGTTTTATGAAATTTTGTTAAAGTTTTTATTGGAAAGACTATTTCAATTTGGAGTGGTTAAAATGGGCTCCACTAAAATGATTTTTTAAAATGTTTACCTTTGTAACACAAGTCTATCAGACAGGCACTTTAAAAATTTTAATCATGGGCCAGGGATTTAGCTCAGTGGTTCCGCCACCTGCCTAGCAAGCACAAGGTCCTGAGTTCAATCCCTGGTACCAAAAATAAAAAACTCTAATTATGTAACCTTTCGTTAACATGTGTTAATTGTACAAGAGAGTGACTTTCAATGTGACACTTCCACATGGTCGTAGAGCGCGCACACTGAGCACAACTGTGTGCCACTCCACCCTCACACTTGTTTCCCTTTCCCCTTCTCCTTGGTTCCCTTCCTGTCCCTAATACTACCTCTTCTTATCATGTTACTTTTTAAATTTAAGAATGTATATTTTGTATTTGTTGCTTCCAGTACTGATTTTTAGACTTCAGTATGGATCAAAATTACCTGCAAGGCTGGTATAAAAACACATTGCTGCGTTCCCTTCTTCCTTATTGCTTCTGGTATACTGCTATACTTCTGGGTTGGGGCTAGAATTTATATTTCTAGTTATTCCCAAGAGATCATGAGGCTGCTATTCTGTTGATCACACTTTGAGATCTCTTACTTTCTGAAACCTATTTCAAAATGTGGCCAGGGAAGTAGTAATACTAGCTAAATTGATGCTGTTGGAAAGTGATGCCATGTTTTAGTAGGAAACAACCAGTCCATCTTTTCCAAAACCATTCTCTATTAGTGGTTCAAAGAAATTACTCTCATCGCAACCAACTTGTTACTGATTTAGAAAGAATTCTTACGAATAACTGGAACAAAAAAGAGCATAAAAAGTAAAGAAGTAAGTAGAAGATTGTTTATAATTCAAGATATGTATATTATAAATATATTCTTTTTGAATATGATCAACAATAATAACAAAAATACTATTTAAAAAACTATACAACCATTTCTAAGTATCCAAAAGAATTGGAAAGGAAACTACTTGTCCAAATAGAAATAATAATATCCTGAAAAAAAATGAATAAAAATTCTATTAATTTTGTAAAAACTGGTGAATGAAGAAATAAATTTTTGAAAAAGTGATGTAAAATAAATGTCAGATTAAA